GGCCCAGCGCCTCTAAAATACCATAGCTGTTAAGGACTCAACACATCAGTTTTAAAAAAGCTATTCTTCAGAACGGTTTTGATAGGCTATACTTATCATTTTGTGCCATTTCTGAAAGTTAATGAAAATTACAGGACAATGGAAGACAAAGTTGGATATGATGAGATTTGTATTCTGGGACACAGTTAGGATCATCATGTGCTACTTTAAAGCAATCTATTTGTGCGTCTGCCCCAGGTGTAATCAACCAGGCATTATCTAGGGCAGGGATTTACAATTTCTGCAACTGTGACCCAAAGCAAGTAGTAGTCTTGTACTCTGGAGTACACGTGCACACGCATTGGTACAGCCGAAAGAAAAATCACGTGAAAATACCTTGGCTAGGCATGGCACATTCTGGTTTCTGCTCTTCTAGGGTAAGCTGAAAAAACTGAGTCCTGACCCAGCATATTGATTTTATTGCCCACTATGGGTCACCAATCAGTTTGAAAATTCAGCTTTTAGAAGGATATGACAAAGTTTCAGCTTTTAATTAAAAGCAGCTCAGCAAAAAAAAAAAAAAAAAGTGTTGGCTTTTGGCCCAACTTCATTTCTTGCAGCACCCTAGAAGATTAACCACCATCAGTGCTAATGAAAGGCCAAAGAATAAATCAGATTCCAGGACACTGCCAACCTTTGTGCTGGCCCCATATGGGTGAGGGGGATACAGTGGGGCCATCACAACGGAGGGTGACAAGATCGATGATGCAGTCAGCGCTAGCACCACAGGAACATGTGGGAAGGCCACCTGACCATGCTGGGATGCAGGCCGTGGGCACAGAAATATCTGATGGTGTCTATACTGAGACCTTTGGTCTGAAGCAATTGGTAGCTACAGACACACGTGAGGGCAGGGTGGCAGCAGACGGGCTATAGAAGATGTTACATTAGGAGCTTGAGGAGAAAGAGCTTCTGTCCTACTGAGTTTGACCTTTATCCCAATGGAAAATGGAAGCTGTTGCTGGGCTTACCAAGAGAATGAGAAGACCCACTGAATGTGCTAGAAAGGGTCCCATCTGCCCAGTGCAGAATGGGAAATGGGGACTGTATGATCAGCTCCTGGGCTGGTAGACTACTGCAGTAGACTTGTGCTGAGATGGGGCTGCTCAGATGGAGAGAGGGAGGTGGAGTTGAAGAACATAGATGAGGAAGCCCTTCCTCTTTGAGGTTTACTTTCTCAATGGAAATACAATCTGCCCTTTGTAGCTGCAAGTTCCACATCCCCAGATTCACCATATTTTTTAAGAATTACACTTGTTGGGAGGGCCGACAAGATAGTTCAGGGGACTAAGCACCTGTTTAGCAAGAGTAAGGATGAGAGTTCAATCCCCAACTCCACATGCCATGCCAGCTCTGCTGCCAGGCGCACTGAGCCGGCCCCTGCCACTGAGACTGGGTCTGGAGGCGCACACCTGTAATCCCAGCACTGGAGCAGCCTAAAACAGGAGGCTCACTACAAGTCCAGGCTGCATAGTGAGACCCTGTACCAACTACATAAAAAAGAAGTCCTGCCCATACAGATTTTTCTTTTCATTAAACAAGACAGTATAACAATTACTTCTGTAGCATTTATACTGTAGTAGATATTGCAGGTAATCCAGAGATGATTTAAAATGTACAGGTGGAGGATGGAGACTATGCAAATACTGTGCCATTTATATAAGGCACTCAAACAGCCTCATACTCTTGTGTTGCCAGAGATCCTGGAAGCAATCCCCTTGAATACCAAAGAACAGCTGTGTATAGACCCAGGGCATATGGGATAGAGCACCCATATCCCGGGATCCTGGGCTTGGGGCATACAGGGAATGGGGGCATAACTGTTGAGACCACAGAGGAGGAGCAGGTTGAGAATGGCATAGACCAGTGCTGGTCCATAGAACCTTCTCTGATAGAATGTTCTACAGCCCTACCACCTGCGCCCTGTGAGCACTTGAAACACAGCTCATGTAAACTGAATTTACTTAACTTGTACTGGCTTCAAGTAGCCTCACACAGCCAGTGCTGCTATGCTGGATGGGCAGGAACTGGGAGTAAGGGGCAGGCTTTGATGCACCATCCAGATGGGGTGGGGCAGGTGAAATTTGAGCAGAGAGGGCAGGACCTAGAAAGGAAAGCGACTGTGCCCTCCCTTGTTGCTCTGGAGGCTGGGGGAAAGGAGCCTGGAGAAAAGGCAGGGCTTATAGCTGAGAGCTTCCTCGTAGCCCAGGAGGAGAAATGGGCACGTGGAGGGAGCATCCCTGCTAGGACAGCAGTGCGGAGAAACTGAGGGTGGTTTTCCCAGGGAGGCTGCGATGACAGCCCAGGGCTTGAGTGGATGGGGACAAGGCAGATAGGAGGAAGCAGAAAGGACAAAGCACTAGTGAAGTGTAACAACTCACAGTAGCCAAAGCTTTGATGTTTGGCTTCCAGACTGCAGAGCACTTTGGAGAGATGACAGATTCCCCAGGTGTGGCATTACATGGCTGCGACAAGTTC